TGCTTTTTTTGGAGCCTTCTCATCTTTCTTTCTTAAAAGATGTAAACACATTGAAAATAGAGGGCGGCAGACTGTATTTCGACACTATCAGACCGATAGTTCGTATACTGTAAAGGCAAAATTCGTGTGGCATTACCAACGAACAGGGGGTTTTAAATTAAACTTGACAAGGTTTAAATTCATGTGCCATTACCGTTGTCAGGCACGTCATATAAGGTATTTGTACTTGTGCGTTAAAATTTTTAAATTGTTAATATCACTTTTCAGATATTTTAAAGCACGTTTCAGGTCATTTTGAATATTCCAAAACTTTCCAAAATTTACGCGCCGTACGCTCATTTCCACGCCCACAGCACGTACTGAAGCTGGAAATTACGTTTCGGTTACATGTGTTGGGTTTCTGACACTGTATCAATACTACCGTGCGCACGGACGTTAAGACGTATGTGTACACATTCGTAAGTCCTTAAAATGCTCAAAATTACTCTTTTCCTTTAAAATTCCTTTTAAAATGCTCAAAATTACTCTTTAAATAGAGCATGTTTTAGCATATAATACTTTTCAATCAGAACCGTGCGTGCTTCGTGAGGGTCAAAGTACGGCGGATCACCTAACTCGTCCTCAGTGACAAGTTTAAATCTAGTTAAAACATAAATTTGTTTGTTTCTATTAAACCAAGAATAAGTTACAGTAGAATTAGAATTTATAGCAATAATTTTCAATGCAAAATTCATTTATAATATCAATCAGCAGTTATGTAAATTAAAACTATAATAGTTAAATTATGTTCCCAATGTTATTTCATGATGCAATGCTGATGACCAAATTTTTTTTTTTTTAAATTGAGCTTTCTATTGGATGCATGTAGCATGCATAGATTAACGACTCAAAAATAAGGGTGTGTGTTTTGACATTGATTAGAATCCCATGAAAGTAAACAAAAAAAGAAATACCATGCGTAAGGGTTAAATTTGACCAGATTGCGATGTCCTTTAATGACCTTTAATTTCTCCAAAATTCAACATTTCCCCCTCTTAAATGTGATTTTATCTCATTCTTAGGCCTATTCCGTAGAGAAAAAAAATCAAAGACACAGGACAGGCAATACATTATTAGGCCTATATTCCAACAATACTAAGTAGTTGGATAGGTAGTCTTTCTTTCATAGATCGATGAACTGATAGACCTGAAACTTTCGTACATAAATTATTACGACGTAAAAACACTGTTTTAAATTTTATTTAATTGAAGGCTGGTTGGGCCAGCCTATATCCGATCTGCCAACCTATGCCTAGGTGGTAAGCATGCCATTTGTAAGCCAGGACCCAAACCACCTGAACCCCCATGGATCCGCCACTGACACTAGCGTACAATAGTAGCATTACATGAGCACACTGAACGGGCAATACATTGATGGGTTAAATCAGGCATGAGCGAACACATTTGCCCGACGCCCGGGACAAGTGTTTTTTACAGTCGGACAACAAGAATTTTAGGGACCACCTGACATGAAATGTCTGGACTTCAAGACTAGTAAATACTTTCACGCGCGAATATGAACAGCAGCCATTAGGCCGACTTCAAAAAAGGCCTAGTCTATTTCATTTGCGCGTGTGGGGAAGGCAATCTAGACAAACTAGGAAAGGGTAGTTAAATTGGGATTTAAAGTTGTTAAAAGTAATCAAGAAATCATTTACTTCTAAGTGATGGAGACAATGTGCATATAAAATCCAAATCTTGTGAAACTGGAGTTAAACATTGAGGGGTTAGGGCCTATAAATGAATCATTTTCCCATCTTAATTATTTCACCCTCTCGCCGCATTTCAAGAATATGATCCGATTTCGACAGATATTTTGCAGAAAATTGAGGCCTTCATAGCAGTAGGAACATAAGAATATTTACAATTCTGCACATCTATTTTTCTAGATGTTTTCCCATGCCATTTGAATTTGAAACATTTTGAAGTTAGTATTAGAATTGATTAAGATCTACAAACGGGATATGGCCACACCCTCCCCTTTCTCCAAATACCGTCATAAAACACAGTCTACTCTTGTAGGCCCTATCGTGGGAATCAACCATGCCTGAAAAATGTCTACTTGCAGTTTTCGTGACAACGGCTTTTAAACCCGCAATAAGAAAACGATCAACACACTCCTACATACATAGAATATTAATAATAATGCACAGGCTTTTGAACCACTATTTGAAAAATTCACAAGGTGAAATATAGTGGTTAATACACAAATGAAGTTACACCCTCAAAATTTGTTGCATTGCATGAGCATCAGAGAGGCAAACACAAGGATAAAACATCAAAGTATACATAGGTTAAACAATTGAATAACAACTGAAATGCTATAACAATTATTAGAAAAAAGAAAAAAATTTCAAGATTATCGTCACAAATAATACACAAATAATTATAAAGTTGTCTTGCTATCACTCACAAAATATTTTTGCATTTAATTCACCTCTGTTATAGTTTTGTTTAAATTAACAAATTGGAAAGACTCTGAAAAGAGGTCAGAGAACTCACTAGTCTCACATCGGGTTCCAGTGTAACCAGATGGGCAAGTACAGGAATACCCAATAGTTGTTTGAGAGCAAGTTCCACCATTTAGACAGGGTGCAGATGCACAGGCTGTTGTAACCACTATTTGAAAAAAATCACATGGTGAAATACAGTGGTTAATACACAAATGATTACAAAGTCACACCTTCAAAATATTGTTGCATTACATGAGCAAATCATAAAAGCACACACAAGGATAAAACATCAAAGTATACATAGGTTAAACAATTGAATAAACAACTGAAATGCTATAACAATTATTAGAAAATAGGAGAAAATTTCAAGTTTATGGTCACAAAAAATACACAAATAATTACAAAGTTGTGTTGCTGTCACTCACAAAATATTTTTGCATTTAATTCACCTCATATTTTTATTTAAAAGCTTTATCCAGTGGCTTTATTCAAGGAGTTAAGACTACTACTAGTTAAGACTGTTTTATTGCAATCTGCCCCTGTAGGCAGGAGGCTCCTAACAAACAAACAAACACAGAAACAGAAAAAGACAAACCTACAAACTAAATCCGATGAAAATATAAAATCCTTGTGGAATACAAACAAACAAAATCCAATGAAAATATAACCTCCTTGGAGATGTAATAAAGACAATACAATCAAATGAATTCAGTAAATCATTATCTATATTAGGCCAAAAATTACTCTGTATCAAAGCAAAATTAAATATTGAACCAAATACAAATATTTTAGGCTCTTTGGTTTCATAGATAATATGTTAATACAAAAATAGCGATCCTGATTTTTAAATGGGTCAGTTGGCTTGGGCAACACAAAGCTGGGTTTTTTTTTTGCTCTCAAAACTAAACTAGGTACTTATAAACACCACATGCTGTTTGACAGTCTGCTTGGGTATCAAAGTTATTGGCATTTCCATCACAATAATTAGAAAATAAGGTACAACCACCTGTACGTAATATTAAGGTTGGCCCTGATTACTTGTTATTTACCGCCATGTGTTGTTTGACATTCTAATTGGGTTTCTAAGTTGTTGGCATTACCCTTACAAGTAATAACGCTACATTGTGTGTACGAAGCAAATCTTACCCTAATTTTTTACAGATTTTGTGTTAGATGTGCTTTTGAAACATAAAGGGGGGTTTCGGCCCTAATTATTTTTTTATTTTAAACCTCCACATGATGTTTGACAATCGGTTATGGTCACAAAATTGTTGGCATTTTCACCACAATAATAAGCAAATGGAGTACAACCACTTGTACTGTCAGCGCATATTTTTCAAATTACTTATTGTTATTTACCTCCACATGCTGCTTCACACAATGTACTGCTTTCAAAGTTGTTGGCATTTGCACCACAATAATAAGCAAATGGGGTACAACCACTTGTACTGCCAGCATAGTAATAACGCAAAACTGCTTGTGCCCCTGGGCATGTCGTAGCCGTCCCAGAAGCTAAAGGTAAGGAACAGACACCTGAAAAACAATAATTAAAACATAAATTTGTTTGTTTCTATTAAACCAAGAATAAGTTACAGTAGAATTAGGATTTATAGCAATAATTTTCAATGCAAAATTCATTTATAATATCAATCAGCAGTTATGTAAATTAAAACTACAATAGTTGAATTATGTTCCCAATGTTATTTCATGTTGCAATGTTGATGACCAAATTGTATTTGAATTGACGTGTGTGCAAAAATTAAATAAACAAACAAACAAACCAAATTTTTTTTTTAAATATTGAGCTTTCTATTGGATGCATATAGCATGCATAGATTAACGACTCAAAAATAAGGGTGTGTGTTTTGACATTGATTAGAATCCCATGAAAGTAAACAAAAAAAAGAAATACCATGAAATTTGACAAGATTACAGTGTCCTTTAATGACCTTTAATTTCTCCAAAATTCAAGGTTTTCCCCCTCTTAAATGTGATTTGATCTCATTCTTAGGCCTATTCCTTAGAGAAAAAAAAATCAAAGACACAGGCAATATATTATAAGGCCTATATTCCAACAATACTTAGTAGTTGGATAGGTAGTCTTTCTTTCATAGATCGATGAACTGATAGACCTGAAACTTTCGTACATAAATTATTACGACGTAAAAACACTGTTTTAAATTTTATTTAATTGAAGGCTGGTTGGGCCAGCCTATCTCTGTTATAGTTTTGTTTAAATTAACAAATTGGAAAGCCTCTGAAAAGAGGTCAGAGAACTCACTAGTCTCACATCGGGTTCCAGTGTAACCAGATGGGCAAGTACAGGAATACCCAATAGTTGTTAGATTTAGCCTGATCCAAGGCTGACTAAAAAAATTGGAATGAGGAGGTATAATTTTAGTCGAGGTTCGCGTGATTTAGTTGAATAATTTATTCATTTCAAGTAGATGAGTTTTGGCCATAAGTATAACATGGGAACCCAGTATGAACTGAATTTGCAAATTTAGATTTATATTGGTCCTTACAAAAAATTATTACAGGCACAATTCCTCAGTAAAAATATACTATAAGCAAGAGTTACAAGTTATTCATACTAAAAATGTTAAATATTTTTAGATTTACTGAAATACAATTCATATAATAAAAGAGTTGCCCATTAAAATATCATAAAATACACATACTATGTGCAATATGAAGAATGTGGAAAAAGAATGAAAGAATGAATGCATGGGAAATGAATGAATGAATGGGTGAGCAGTTAAATAAGTGAATGCATGAATGAGTGAATGAGTTTATGAATGAATGAATGAATGAATGAATGAACGAACGAACAAACCAACGAATGAATGGGTGGGTGAATGAGTGAATGAATGAATGATTGGATAAATTGATGAATGATTGTATGGATGAATGAAATGGAGACAGATAGATTGTATAAATTAGAGAATTCAGTAGCATGGGGAAGGGTGGGGGATAAAAAAATTTAAACCCAGGTTTTCCTATCCCTCACCAGAAATGTTCTGAGCACAAAAAATTCCAATCATGTAAGTACATAGATAAAAACAACATACAAGCACCAGAAATTACCCGTCGAGTACAGTAGTCTAATACCCCCTAAAAGAGCCCAAAAGTACTATCAGGTAGTGGCGGATTCAAGGGGGGGGATGCTATCAAAATTTGAACAAAATTGAGTCTAAAAGTGCCATTTCCGTCCATCTAGAGGTGCCATAATCATAAAATGTACTTACCTCAGCCCCAACCATGATGAATTCCCTCTCTGGGCCCTATTCTATTTCAAATTTCTGTATCCCGCCACTTATCGGTAGCCGATCATTTCGGTCGCGCTTCGTTTCGGTCGCGGTTTATTTCGAACAAATATATGGAGCGCCGAAGGAGTTGCGAAAACGAAAAATTTAATATGCCTAGGCCCATATATTTTAGTTCGTGAATCGGTTTATCATAGGCCTAAGTATTATTGTTTTGCTATCTTTCCACTAACAAAATATCTTTCTGCTATATTCTCTTTCTTCCATTTACGGTGATATATTCATGATTGCAACATGATCAATTGAAACAATGGAATTTAGTATGTGCTTCATGTTATTCTTTTTGTTGCGTTTTCATATACTATACTTTAATAAATGGTCAATAAAATGTATCTTTGATTTTAATTGAATTGAATATTGTTACCATCTGAAATTTATTTCATAATTTAGTTAAAACAATAATCATTCAATATTTAAACTGATCATTTTATACAATAAATATATTTATTTTTCTTGCAGCTTCCAGAGTTTAGATAAAACATACCAAGAGAATTGAAGGAAACACGAAGAAATAAACGAATAATACGCACATTATCATTCACTTGAAATCTTTAATACCCCTGCGCAGTTCATAAATATGAATACATATTTATATATGACTTTATCATATTGGATATACCTAGAAACCACTATATATATATATATAT